TAATTTATCTTCTTTAGTTTTATGATCTTTTTCTAATGCTTCATATTTAGTTTATATTTCTTTTGCTAATTAATCTTATCTCTTCTATTTATTGGCTTTAACTTCTGCAATTGCTTATTTTAATTTTTCTATTTCTTCCTTCATTTTATTCATATTTGCTGTTCTCTCCTATCTAATTTTTTATAATTCTTATTCTAATTGACTCTTTGTCTTTTCTTATCCTGCAATCTATAATTTTTAAAATTATTATTACTTTTGATTTTAAATCTTCTAATTATTTAACATGACTATTTTATTCTTCTTATGCCGTACTTAACTTTTTCAACATAACTATTTTTATACATTTTACACAATGTAATAAATCACTCATTTCTGCATTTATATTTGTTTTCATTCCTTTTATAATTTCATAATCTTTTGGACAATGTTAAAGTCTTCTTAATAAATTCTTAAAATTTTCTTATAACAAATTTTCCAATCTTTCTGATTCCATTTTCTTTGTCTCATCTATCTCTTCTCCTTAATTCAATGCTGTATCTAAATTAGCATAAGGCCTATATTTCTATTCTATTTCAGCTTAAGATTATAAAAGTTTCATAGTTTCTTCAGTTAGCGGTTACTTTGCATCTTTTAAAAATTTTCCAGTTTAGAAACGTCCTATAAATTCTGTATCTAAATATAGACAATATTCCAAATTTTATATAAGTTAATCCAAAACTCTTAAAACTCTTTAAGCTTCTACAATTGTAGGTTTCCCTATTATTGTTGACATTAAATTCTTTATTATTTCTTAATGTCCTTCTTACAATGACCTTTACTATTATTTTACTCTATTTTCACCAAGACTTGTCTCCATTGTCTTTGCAAATTACTTATGTGCTCCTTTCATCACTATATTATTTAATATATTATTAATATAAAATAATCACTCCTTTTTTGTGCTAAGTTAATGAATATCTAAAGCAATATTCTAATTTATCTTAAACTTTATTACTAAATCTATTGAATCTATGCTTCCTAAACGTTGTCTCTACACTTCCTATTCTTTTTTCAATGCTTCTTGAATTCTTAAAAATTTTTCCTTATGTTTACGATCATATTATATTTTGGCCTTTTTGTATTTGTTCTATTGTGTTTAAATCAATTCAAAAAATACAAACCATAATTTATTTTCTAGTTCTATTCTTAAATAATAACTATATTAAATCGAAATCAGTTCCCAAAATAGATATACATTTTTCTAATTTCTTTAAATCATCCTAATTCCAACAAGGATTTGAATTACATTTATTAATTTTAGGTGCTTGTTATTTTTTTTAGATTCTCGGTCTTTGTTTCAATAATTCTTTTAAGGTTTCACTATCTTTGGTGCTGCCTTCGCTTGATAAGGAAGCCATAAAATAATTTATTTTATTTTATTTGCAATAAATCTGGTGGGGGCCAGGACTGACAGACAGAAATATCAATAAATATTTTTATATTTTGTATTATTATTAATTTTATCGTATATTGCTATCTCAAATAGTCCATGGCTATCCATTTACAACAGATCTTTCCCATGTTGGAACAACCCCTCTTTAATAATATGAATTTCTTAATGGTTCAAATAGACCAAAATGAGCTAATCCCAATGCTAATAACATTCTCAAATTTATTATATACCTAAAGTTGTAAATAAAATTTCACGTCTTCCTCCCTTTCTAGATTACCTCATAAAATAGTTGCTTGGTAAAGTTGTAAACCAATGTTTTGCCATCTTATTGTAATTTTTTTATTAATTAAAATAATTAATAATTATCACTTAGTATTTTATTACTTTTATATTTATATTATTTCTTCCACATTTCATTAACTTATAACTATTATCTATTCTTGACCTTATTCATTTCTATCATAGTAGTTTCAAATTCTCAAATCTTTGTATATTTACTAATAAGCTACAATTTATCATCTAAAATTCTTAAAATCATGACTATAAATTTAATTACAATTTAAACTAATGCTATTAAACCAGTTGTGAAAACAACTTTAATTATAGTATTTATCTCTAATTTAAAGGGTTTACCTATATTCAGATGCTCTCAAAAAATGTTAATAATTATAATCTTGTATTGTAAAACTATAACTAACCCTAATTATGGGCATAATTTATTAAAATTAAAGTATTTATACGTATATGAATTTAAAAAAAATCAAATAGTTTTATCTTGTAAGAATGCTATTTTTAATTTACTAATTTTTTTATTTACTAATTTTTTTATTTACTAATTGTTCAATAAATTTACTTTCATTATTTCTGAAAAAGCTTTTCTCATCATGTTGTCATCAATTATTCCCTTAAATCTTTAAAAGTTTCCTTTTTTCAATTTGATTTTTGTTTATGAAATTTTTCTTACATATTTATTTTCTTTTTCAACTTTTCTCGACTTCATCAATATTCTCAATTTATCCTTCTTTAATTAGAACTTTTTTTTACTTAAAATATTTATTAGATTAAATTAAGAATACAGATTCTATTTATTAAATCAATAGTTTTTAAATTTTAATTAAATAATTATCTCTTAAATTATCTCTTAATATCAATAAATTCTCATATCATAAAAATTTATAATTGTATAATGTTTCTAAAAATTAATTACAAATAATATTTATAATTTAATTTTCAGGAGATCGTTTATTAATATAAGTTCAATAATTTAATGTAAAATTAATTAAAACTTAGTGATATATATTTAATAATAAAATAAAAAAATAAAACTCATAAAAAAATTTTTCCGATACCGGGGATTGAACCCGGGTCCCCAGGGTGAAAACCTGATATCCTAACCACTAGACTATACCGGAAATGTTAATTTATAATCATAGAGTAAAGTTTTAAATGGCAAAGCTATTTTGAAAAATTATTAACAATAGTTATTGATTTTTTATTTTTTTAGCTTTATTAATTTTAATAATATTTTTGAATTAAAGAAAAAGGTTTTCAATTAATTTATATTTTGTAAAGAATGTAAATTCAATTATTTTTTAGACATAAAAGTTAAACTTTAAATTAATCTATAAGGATGTATAAGTTTTTCTTTTATAAAATTGAATCAGGGCAATAAAATTATTATTTTTCTTTGATTTATTTAAATGAGATTAAAGACTTATTTAGATAGTAAGAAAATAAAGTAAAATAAAATAAACTCTTTGAATTGAGAGCTTTAATCGATAGAATTGATATAAATCACTCTTATTATTTATTTGATGATTCCTATTTTCTTGATACTTCTTCCATAGCTTTGGTTTTCATTTTGTTTATTTTATCAAATAAAAATTATTTTTCTTATTCTTCTGATTCCCAAGAAGTCTTGAATTAGAATAAATTAATACTTCTGGCCCTAAACCTAATTTACTCAAATCTTCTTTATCCATAAGACCATTATTCATTCTGCATTATAAATAATCAACTTAATATTTTCTACATCTCTTAGGCATGTTCTCATGTTTTTGGATGCATACATTATATTATTTTGCTTCATTATCACATTCATGAAAATGATCTAATGGAAATGACCCCTTATCTTATGTAAATAATTTATATTACCTGGCCCTTTTGATGCATTCTATTTACTTCTATTAGACATAATTAAAATTTAATCAATAATTTTATAATATATAGATATATAGTATCACATATTTTAATTTTCTAAAATTGTTCTATATTTATCTTTTAAAAGTTTAAGTAATTAAAGATAAGCATTATGTTCTAGTTTATATTTTAGGGCACTTTCTTGAGCAATTTTGATAAGATTATCATTCTTCTTCATAACTATATTAATAGCTTTACCTGTTTTCAGTTTGTATTAGAGAGAAAACAATTTTTCATTTTTTTTATCATCAAGATCAACACATTTAATGAGTTACTTATTTGGAGTGATAGATTTATAATTTAATTATCTTTCTGGAGTTCTATTAAATTAAGTGTTTACTTATTCTCTTAATTAAACTACTATACCTGTTTGTGATTTATTTCTATGAGTATTTCTATTAGTACTTTAAGCAGGTTAATTAAGTGATTTTTTGGTAGTCATTATAGATATATACTCTTCACTAGATTAAGGGTTTGATTGGTTTCTATTTGAATTAGATTTGGTTTGATTATGATAATAATTATTTTGAAAAGATTTTATTTAATTGTTACTTTGGTTTTCTTATTTAATAAATTAAGAGATTTCACAAATATTTATAGAATCTTTTTTTTAAGGCACTTTTTCTGGTTTTACTTTTTGGTCATTTTATTAAAATAAATGTTATTTAAAACTATCAAAAACCTTTTCACATTCAACTTAAATATAATTCTAAAATTAAAATTAATTGTTATCTTCAATTTATGCTAAAAATTATCTAAATTAATCCAATCCATTTTTCATTGCCTCTTTCATAGTTGAAAATTTATCTTAAGAATTACTCATTTCATTTAATACTGATCGACTTGTATAAATTTAAGGTTGTAATTTAGAAGGAGATCTTTGATAGATAAATTAAGAATTTTAATTTTAATTTTAAGTTTAACTTTTATTGGTATCATTATCAATCCACTTACTGATTCTTGAATTTTTAGGAGTATTATCAGGACTAAATTAATTTAATTTATTTAAATTCCTTTCTGTCTATATTAATTAAGTTTATTATAATGTTTTGTTGTGAGTATCCTAATTTAAGAAATTTACAAATTAATCTTTTTTTATTGATGGACTATTTTATGAATGATTAAGATTAGAATTATTTAGATCATCTGATTTTTTTATTAAAGGGGAATTTTAATCATCTTGAATATATGTTTAGACTCTTCTTGTATGAATTTAGGATTAATTTATATTAAATTCATATTCTCTATAGGAATGTGTAGAATTAATTTTTTATTTATTATTTGTTTATGAATATTCTATGCTGTATGAATTTGGTGAGACTTCTTTTTCAGTTTGAGAATTATTAGCATTTTCTAATGAAATTCGATTAAATTTTAGAACAGAAATTGTAGATTACTTTTATTATCTATAAGAGATATTTCCACTTTATTGTATTTATAATTAAAGAGTCTAAACTTATAAATTAATAATACATACATAAATAAGATGACTAACATTTTATTTGGTAATACAGGATATTTCATGGTAGCTCATGCCATACTTTGCAGAGAATTTAAGGGCATTTTCACCTTTGTAGATGTAAATGAAGCATTTTTACTAGAAACTTTTCTTCGATCTATGAGATCAAGTTTATTGGCAACCAAATATGTATTCTTATTTTATATTTCTGGATTGTAACGATTTTTTAAGTACTCAAAGCTGTTATAATCACGAATGTCAAATAAATAGATTACAACATCAGCTCTAGATGTAACCAATTCTAACTGAAAATACTATTATAATAGTTCAATAAGAGTTCTCTTTCCTACACCATTTTTGCCTATAATTTACAATTACATTATCATTAATTAATTAGTTGTTAATTTTATATGACTTCCCCTTCACGTACATAAATACAATAAGCACTTGATCTTGAAAAAAGATTTGAAGTTGGTGATACTCAATATGAAGAAATTGCTTAATTGGCACTTATTTATAGATAGTTTATCGAATATTATGATTTGAATAACAATCCAATGAAAATATATTTTATAGAAAAGATGAAACACTTAATGCAATCACCATGTACCATGCAATCTTTGATTGTATCTGCTCCAAGTACAAGACGTAATTCACCAACTGGACAAGAAAATCTGAAACATTATTATTAGAATTATTAATATGAAACGATGAAGAATCAAACAATCACTCCTAGAGGGATTAAATAGTTGCAAAATGTATTCAAAATATCACTAATTAATTAAGGACTTTTTATATTAGAAGGAAAATATTGAAAAAATTATTAATAATGATTATGCCAAATAGTTATAATCAGTAACGGAAAAATTATAATAAAGAAAACAGAAGAGAGCCCCAGGAAAAAAGTCTCCAAAACGAACATTCACTAAAATTTATCAACCTCCCACTTTAGATATGCTTGATTTGTGATATATAGTTATTATTTATATATAAAACCTTTCCAAAAGATTATTATAATCCCTTGTAATATGAATTATTTTATTAATTCTAATAAATATATTTAAAATCTTCTATCATTTTTCATCTATTTTAATTAGATTATTTAATATTTCATAATTGGCAAGCAATATTTGATATACTTGCTATTTTTATTTTTGAGATTATCTTCTGTGCAATATTAATATTTTTAAAACCTATCTATCTAAATGTCTTTATTTAATTCTTAGAAATAATACAACTCTGAATACTACACTATGCTTAATGGATTAGAGCATAGTTTTTTTAAGGAGGAAATTGAGAGCTAGGATTTAATGCAATTAATTTTGAATATAGCTCAACTAGTGGAATACTTTGATTTGAGAAAAGATCCAATAAAAGACTACTTTTTAGAGAAAATGTAATACATTTTATCCAGACCTTTTACTCTATGTAATTTAAAAAAGAAAGATGATGAGAATACGTCAAATAAAGATATGAAAAGATCTCGTCACTCTCATTTCTGTTAAAATGTCTAAAAATTGGAAATGCAATCCCTTTTATAGAGTAATTCAGAGGAAAATGAAGAAACAATAAAATTATTATAAGAAGTATATATTTGATCAATAATAATAGGATTATGAAAAATAACTAATAGAGCAAACACTTTTAGTTTAATAAGACTTAAAGAATCAAATGGGTAATCTAAAAAATAAGTTATTACATCGAAAAAATAAGAGTTTATTTTGTCTCTCTAGTAAATTGAATAATTAAGATGATTCACTGAGAAATATGGATAGATAAAAAACATGTCAAAGTAGTCCATCAAAAAATTCTGAAAGTGAACAAAATAATACTAATGATATGTGCTGAATTTTCAAATAAAAATTATTCTTGAATAAAAATGATTTTGTTTTTTTATATTAAAACATAACAAGTTATTGATATATTTGTTTTATAAATCATTTAGATTGATCATCATTTCCTTCTTCTATAAGAGCTTCTTGACTAGTGATTGCTTTGAGTATAATTTTTTTACTTGGCTCTTAAATAAAACCAGCTAAAAGCAATTCATCCAAGATATAATAAGCTTTGTGGAAATTAAAGATAAGATCCAATTCACATACATTACCAAAATATTTATCTAATACTTCTACAAAATGATGAATAATCTCTAAAATCAAAAGTTCATTATCCTCTTTATCACATATAGCAATGAAATAAAGTGATGCATAACGTTTATAAACAATTTTATATTCAACATATTCTAAAAAATTGCACATCTTTTGGCCGCGTGTCAATACTAATGAGTTTATCTTTACAATAAGATTGATAACAATACTTCTTTTAAGAAACGTTGTTTCTCTCTTGTAGTAAGTGATTAATTATACCACTTAGTCAATCTGGTCTTGCCTTATCTACTAACTAGAAATAAACACTAGATCATTATCAAAACTCTTTAATTTTTTTTATTAAAATATGTTACTTGTAAATGAATCCATAAATGTAATTATCTAAACATATACTTAGGTTACAATACCCTCATATAAATAAGAATCTTCTAATGTTCAATATGTTATTGAAATTAAAACAAGAAATAAACAACAATGGCTAATTACAAAGCGCTATTCATAATTTGAGGATTTACATAAAAAATTGATACTTATTTTTTAGGATCTCCCTGAATTACCTAAAAAAGCCTTTATAACATTCTTAGTTGGCAAATCAAAAGAATAATTAGAAGAACGTAGAGCTGGTTTGGAAAAATATCTTTAGTTGCTCATAGTACGTAGAGAAATATATCATTCTAACTTGCTTCGAGATTTTTTACAGGTATAGTAATTTGTAATAAGCTTGAATAATGCGAAGAAATTATTCCTCCTAATCTAATCCATTCTACTAAAACAATAATGGGTATACGTGATGTTTCATTGTCTGATTAAGGAGTAATGTTCCTCCTCTAAGCAGATATGAGTGTTTTGAATAGAGTGGATGCATATGTTAATAATATGAAGATGCCATGGAATGATGAAGAAACAGAAGTCAAAACCATACCAGTTGGATTAGTTGAATGTTATATTAAATAAGAAGAAGGAGAATTTTCTTATAAAAGATTATGGACTAAAGAGTATAANAACATAACAAGTTATTGATATATTTGTTTTATAAATCATTTAGATTGATCATCATTTCCTTCTTCTATAAGAGCTTCTTGACTAGTGATTGCTTTGAGTATAATTTTTTTACTTGGCTCTTAAATAAAACCAGCTAAAAGCAATTCATCCAAGATATAATAAGCTTTGTGGAAATTAAAGATAAGATCCAATTCACATACATTACCAAAATATTTATCTAATACTTCTACAAAATGATGAATAATCTCTAAAATCAAAAGTTCATTATCCTCTTTATCACATATAGCAATGAAATAAAGTGATGCATAACGTTTATAAACAATTTTATATTCAACATATTCTAAAAAATTGCACATCTTTTGGCCGCGTGTCAATACTAATGAGTTTATCTTTACAATAAGATTGATAACAATACTTCTTTTAAGAAACGTTGTTTCTCTCTTGTAGTAAGTGATTAATTATACCACTTAGTCAATCTGGTCTTGCCTTATCTACTAACTAGAAATAAACACTAGATCATTATCAAAACTCTTTAATTTTTTTTATTAAAATATGTTACTTGTAAATGAATCCATAAATGTAATTATCTAAACATATACTTAGGTTACAATACCCTCATATAAATAAGAATCTTCTAATGTTCAATATGTTATTGAAATTAAAACAAGAAATAAACAACAATGGCTAATTACAAAGCGCTATTCATAATTTGAGGATTTACATAAAAAATTGATACTTATTTTTTAGGATCTCCCTGAATTACCTAAAAAAGCCTTTATAACATTCTTAGTTGGCAAATCAAAAGAATAATTAGAAGAACGTAGAGCTGGTTTGGAAAAATATCTTTAGTTGCTCATAGTACGTAGAGAAATATATCATTCTAACTTGCTTCGAGATTTTTTACAGGTATAGTAATTTGTAATAAGCTTGAATAATGCGAAGAAATTATTCCTCCTAATCTAATCCATTCTACTAAAACAATAATGGGTATACGTGATGTTTCATTGTCTGATTAAGGAGTAATGTTCCTCCTCTAAGCAGATATGAGTGTTTTGAATAGAGTGGATGCATATGTTAATAATATGAAGATGCCATGGAATGATGAAGAAACAGAAGTCAAAACCATACCAGTTGGATTAGTTGAATGTTATATTAAATAAGAAGAAGGAGAATTTTCTTATAAAAGATTATGGACTAAAGAGTATAATACTTAAGCAATTTGTATGTTTTATGAACCAATTACATGCACTTTGCTTATTGGGTAATTAAATCGAAAGAATATTTAGATTAGACTCTGGAAATATTAACTTTATAAAAGTTTCAGAGAAAGATTCATTCTAAAAATATGAGTAAAGCATTGAAATTGAAATCCATATTAGCAGAATAATGGGTTTATTTTATAGAAATGGATAAATTCACTCAGTTTCAAAGGATACTCATTATAAAGTTATTGATATGGATTAAGGAGGCTTGAAATCAGGTGAATTATAAAACTATTATAGATTTTTCAATAGGGAAGCATGAATTAACATTCTTAACATATAATGAATAGAGAAAAATTTCAGTAGTTGGTAATAGAAATGGTTAATTATATATACTAAATATTAAACCTGTATAACCAATAGTAATGTTGTCTGTTGATACAAATACATCATTTATTAGAGGACTAGTTTTGGATTATTAGAAAAACTATTTAATTTCAGTTTCTTACGATGATGGTGTAATATGCGTTTTAGATGTTGGGAAATGTTTACAAGATAATATAGGGAAAATCAAAACAAAAATATAAGCTAAAATAAAAGTATTTTAAATCAATAACTATTAATAACTAGACTAGAGAAGTTTAATGGTCAAGTAAACGAGGAGAATTATTCATAGGAAATGATGATGGAACAGTTACTATTTATAATGCTCTTGATTTATAACCTTAATGTAAAATTTTTTATTATTTTTAGATGTACTTAAGGCTCATGAAAAAGCCATTACTAAATTGATTTGGTAAGAATCTACCCAGATTCTTATTACAGGAGGTAAGGATGAATTTATTAAATGGTGGCATTTTCCTAAAAAATGGAAGGCAGGTGATCAAGATGAATAAGCCAAATCAAAACAATTGATTGAGGCTAAAATGGAGAATATCTTAAAATTGTAAAATTAAAATCAAAAAATTGATTCAGACGAAGAAGATGAAACAGGATTAGGAAATTGGCATAAATGATATAGCATAATGACTTCATCAAATTTTTAACAAATTTTATATTTAATTTACCAAAATGAAGATTTAGCAATTAATCAACTTAAAAAGATTGACAGTATAAATCTTGGGTTGTAATTTTTTCTTACTCATATGCAAAACCATTTTCTATTAAATTTCATTCAAATTAGAATTAAATAATGGATTATATAGAAGAGTAATCACTATTTTAAGAATAGAATAGCGTTCCTGAATTGACCATTCAATAATTGCCTTAATTGCCTAAAAAAATTTAATAACCTTTTTTAGTTGGAAAGTCAATTTAATAATTTAATGAATGCAAATATAGAGTCCTAGCAGATAATTAAGAACTATCATAAATTATAGAAAAGAAATCAAACGGATAAGCTGAATTAATATTCTAAATAAAATAAGAGGTTTAAGAGTAATATGATCGAATAAATGAAAAGATATTTTAATTTCTAATTTTAATCAAAAAGAACTTGAAACTTAAGAATACTATAAATTAATTAAAAATAAGAATTAAATTAAGAATTAAAAAATAACATCATGACATTCTAAATTAAATAGAAGAACTAAAAAATAAACACTTCAGCAAAGCCAATGATAATAAGAGTAGTTAGAGTATTTAATATATTAACAATAATACTTAATTTAATAATATTTTATATCAAAAGGTTATGAAAATTTGAATCAAACATAATTAAAAAATAATATTGTGAAAAAAAGGTTGAATTTAAACATGAATTAGAAAAGCATTAATTAGTTGAAGTATAAACATAAATTACTCTAAGAAAATTAATAATTAAAAGATAAGTTAAAAGAAAATTTATAACATAAAAATGAATAAGCAAAAACGATTAAAAATTAAAAGAAGAATAATAATATTAATAAATTTAAATTAAGAATAAATAAGAACTCTTTAATATTTAAAAAGGAATTCTATCGTAATTGATTGATATTTAATATTTATCAATTAAAACTAAAGTTTACATACCTAACTGTTTCTTATTTTAATATTTACTATTAATAATAATAAATTATACATGTATAGGAGCTAACAGCTATTTGAATGATTATCTATCTAATCCTAATAGGATGCAATCAGTTTCACAAACTATTGTTGCTTATCTGTTAATTTCTTTTAACATAGCTAATTCTCCAAAATAATCAAATTTTTCAAGTGTACACACGCATTTTTCTTCATCATCTTCTTCTCCTTATTTAAATGCTTTCAATTCACCCTCTTATATTAAATAAAAATAATCTCCTTTGTCTTTTTATTTAAAAACAATATCCTAGGCTTTAAAAGTGACAACATGTAGAGCATCAGCAATTTATTATCTAATGTATGGATCAATTGTCTACAAAATTTTAAATTATTGTAAAATTTAATCATATCTAAAAATAAAATAAATAAATTGTCTACTTTTAACGTTTCTCAAGAACAGGTTACTTAATAAAAGCATCAAATGTTTCTTTATCAAGTACCCACAATACAGATATAGTATCGGTGATTATAGTTGCAGCTCTTTTTTGATTATATAATAAGGCCATTTCACCAAAAAAATCTCCAGGTTTATAAGATTTAATAATTTTTTCTTCATGACTTTGTTTACTTTTTATATAACAATCTAGAAGACCCTAATCAACTAAAAATAATTAGTCTCCTTCATCACCTTGCTTTATTATGATATCCTTAGGTCTAAAGTAAATTAAAACTTATTTACTTAAATTTTTTCTCTTCCATTGCTTTTGCAACAATATCTTTTTACTATTCATTTAAGTGTTTAAACATATAGCAACCATTCATCTTTTTAATAACTCTAGAATATTAATCTTTATTTTTAGGAATAACTTTAAAATTATTTAAGGATTTTATTTATGAATTAACTTAGGATTAATGTTAATTTTAACTTTATATCATAGATTCTTATTATTACGCTTAATTTATTATTGATAAAGATTATTGCTATTATTATTGCGATTATTATTATTGTTGTTATGGTTATTATTATTATTATTATTATTGTTATTATTGTAATTATTATTGTTATTGTTATTATTATTATTATTATTGTTATTATTATTATTATTATTATTATTATTATTATTATTATTATTATTATTATTATTGTTATTATTGTTATTGTTATTATTTTTATTATTATTATTATTATTATTGCTATTATTATTATTGTGATTATTATTTTAATAGTTATTCTTTACTTTCTGTAAGAGAATTTCTTTTAAATTATTAACTTTCTTATTCATCTCGTGATTGTATCAATCTTTATTAGCTTTATTAATTAGAATTTTCTTAAGATTATTTCATTTATTACAAGGATTATTCTCTAGGAGTATTATTAATTAAAATTTATGGTTGAGTTGTTTTGATTGTTACAGGCTATATCAACATGGGGTTTGATTAAGTTGAAGATTTTTTGAATGATTTGTTATTGTTACTTTATGGTTAAAATTTTTGTGTTAATACAGATTATTATTTTTAAAGTGGATGTACATGTTTTTTTGGGTCAGCAATAATTGGAGAAGGACTGAGTTAATCACCAGAACCAAATTTAGGATCAACATCAAAATGATTTTCTGCATCATGTTAACTTGCTTCAAAACTTTTTTGTTGAAAATCACTTTATTCTAATCCTTATTTTGATGAGTTTTAAGGTAACAATTATTAACTATTTATTTCATGTTGGCTATTGATCGGTTAACTTGAATGTTAATGAGATATTTATTAATTAGATTAAAGATTAGAAATATGATGATTTGATCCTTATTAATTTGATTACTATCGATTCAACAAAGGGTTTTGTAAAGATTAAACTTAACTTCTTCTAGGAGTGCCCGATTGCATTGAATTTTGAAATTAAGCAGGAATGGTACTTGAGAATGGTGCATTTTACTTTTCTTAAGGTCTGTATTGTTATCCTGTTGTAAGCAGCCATTAACTCATAAATTCAACCTTATTATCATTCTAGCCATATTACAGGATCTTCAGGTTTTGTGATTAGCAATTCAATTAATATTTTCTCAAAAAGCGGATGTACTTTAGAAGCTAGATATTATCTACTATCTTATTCTTCCATTCAATATAAATAAATATTAATAATAATAATATATTAGTCATAAAAATTATGATTAAAGACACCCACACCATTTTAATCATTATGAACAATTAATTTTCCTTCTCTTTAATTTTCCAATATAATTTTTCAATAAGATTTTTTATTACTAATTACTATTCTTTTTATTTAAGTTTATCAACTTCTAATATATTTTTTAGGAGCACAAATTTTATTTTTTTTATTTAATCATCTTTTTTAAGATATTGAATAATAAGTTATTGAGATTTCTTTAGCCTAATTTAATTTTATAGAAAGAATATTTTTATGGTTTATTAATAGTTTAGTAGTAATAAAATCAAAATAAGCTATTCCAATAATTACCTCATTCAATGATCCATTATTTCTAGTTTTAATAACTAACATTCTTAATAATTAAAAATCTAAAGATTATTTCGATCTATTTATGAATCTTTCTGGATAAAAGATGGGGAAATGAATTTTATTGAAGAGTTCTATATTCAGAATTCTTAGATAAATCATTGAGATTATTTGAAGAAAGAATATCCTCTAAAGTGAGATGTTTAAAATTTATCATAGGGGTCATTTATGAAACTTGATATTAATAATGGTTGCAAGCATTTAATATTTACATTAACGACTTTTAGATGATATATATTTTTATAGAATGTAATGCTATTTAAATTTTATAAATTGTTTATTTTTAATAATTAGGAATGAATAAATTTAAATAATTTACGAGTTCTTCAGTGTTTTAGAATAGAATTTTTAAAAAGGTGTTATAAGATTTATATTATTACAAGAGAATATGAAAATGAAATTACTTGAATTTATTTTAAGTTTGAATTGTTCAAACCTAAAAACTGTTAATAAATTATCATTATTAAATTAATCAAATACCCAAAATCAAAAAATATAAAGAAATCCAGTCATTTTATTAATTATCTATATTAATTAAGTCAAGGTGAGTTACACCTCCTAGAATCTGAGAATAGTTAATTGAGAAGATGTAAATTAAGAAATTAAAAGGAGTATGTGAAGTAAATTGAACAGCCTGAGTATTAGAAACATTAAATCAAATATTAGTGAATCATTTATACTATTTTGTCATAAAATGATGTAATTCTTATATTATAATTTAACAATATCGATATCAAATAAAATTATACATATAATGACCAAACTTCAAAATTATTAAAGCTACTATTATCAACATCGAAATTTTGGATTTGTGAATGCTTCCTATGTCATCAAGGTTAGCCTCTGATCCAAAAGCCCATTCCAAGATTTGTTAATATAAAGGATACTACAATTATCCAATGACAATATCTCCTGATTGAAGAAGTAGCATAATTTCTGAATAAAATTTTTGATTCAAAATGATAAAATCAAGTATGGCATTTTTATGAATGTATTATCTGAAATCTTCAAGTTTTAAGAACTCTAAAAATTAAAAAATAATAAATTACATATTTATTACTACTAATCTCGATTATATTACACTGTAGATAAATTAAGATAATAGAATTAATTTGTATCTGTTATATAATTGTATGTTTAAATTAATAGATTATAACTATGAAGTTTAAGTTTGACAATCCTATTTTTGATACCAATCTCCTTTGTTAAAGTATTCAGTTTAATAACCTCGTACCTATCTTATGAGAATTAATAAGGTCTTATATAATAATGTTAAGTTCCATAAATAACATATATATGATCTTCTATAGTCTCATATTTAATCAATTCTTTCCAATTAGTTTTAAATTACGAATCATACTAAAATAAGTTTGAATTTTGATACAATGTTTGTTACTTCATCTTGATAGATAGTACTAGATGAACCAAATCCTGAGAATACTGACATTTAATAATGGATGATTGATATTTTGATCTATTATTGAAATTCATCTAAAATAATTATTATTAAATTTATAATGTCTCTGGATTTATATTAAGAACTTTCAAAAGGGATATTAATAATGTATTGTCCCTTGTGAAAGATATGAAAAGTTGAAAAAAATTGAATTTCTTATTTTTTAACTTAGCTAAAAATAACAAAATAATTTACTTTAAAACTGAGATATATTATATGTCAAATGTGTTACTGATAATAAGTAATGAATTTTCTGATTAATAAAAATTGATAATTCTGTCTTATTACATAGATTCGAATTTCTTAATTGATTTGTCACTGTAAACATAATGGATCATACTCGATTGATGTATTGTAGTCATATATAAGTTTTAATTCATAAATTATGATTTGTAATACTCTCCTAAATATATGGATTGAAATATAAGTTTTATTGAAACCAATTTATTGAATCCATAATACTCTACATCGAAAATTTCATCGGCATCGATTTAATATACACTTAAAACTTTTTAAGTAATGTACTTGTACAATTGTTATAGTCAATAATGTAAATAATATTATTGTTCAAATGTGCATCTATTGCACAGTCTATATGATACTAAAATAGGATTGATTCATCTTCCAAATATTTAAGATAAGTGCATTCATTATCTAATTGTCTCATTTATTGAAAATGGGCTTTTATTTGGTATATAAGAGTATGTTGATTTTCAATCTGAATTTGATCATTAATAGGTTCTCTAAGACTAGTACCATATCGATAGTAGAAATAGATAAGAGACTATTTAAATTCGATTCGATTAAAGGTTTCAATAATGAGCACAATTAAGGCTCCGATTAATTGAATTACAAACATTAAAATAATGCAATAAGCAATTCCAGCACCAAGAGCTTAAGTAACCTAACCATATGCAGGCTAAAAGCCAGGTACTTCAGGTTTACGTAAGAAGGTTAGCGAGGCAACTTAACCCCATTATCTTGAGAATTTTGTGTAAAGCATTTTCAATACATTACGTAAAGATGAATTAAAGCGTATCCAATATTTTACATTTTATTTAGCTAAGAATGTTTTATTTGTTGGTGGAGATGGACGATATTATAATAGATAGGCCATATTCTCAATAATCCGTTTAGCTTATGCAAATGATATCAGTGAAGTGCACATTGGTTAAGGGGGATTAATGTCAACACCTGCTTCTTCCCATTATATTCGTAAAGTAAATGAAGAAGTTGGAAATTGCATTGGAGGGATAATTCTTACAGCTTCTCATAATCCTGGTGGCAAAGAACATGGAGATTTTGGAATTAAATTCAATGTAAGAACAGGTGCTCCTGCTCCAGAAGATTTTACTGATTAAATCTATACTGTATTTATATTCATTAAATATATTTAGCATACAACTAAAATTAAAGAATATCTAACAGTAGATTATGAATTTGAGAATCATATAAATTTAGACTAAATAGGAGTTTATAAATTTGAAGGGACTAGATTAGAGAAATCAAGTTTTGAAGTTAAAATAATAGATACAGTTAAAGATTATACTGAATTGATGTAGAAGTTGTTTGATTTTGATTTGTTAAGAACTTTATTCTAAAATAAAGGTAAAATTAATTAAATATTAAATAATAAGATTTTTCATTTCGATTAGATGGAATGCATGGTGTTGCAGGACCTTATGCTAAACATATTTTAGGCACTTTATTAGGATGTTCAAAAGAATCTTTATTAAATTGTGATCCATCTGAAGATTTTGGTGGTGGTCATCCAGATCCAAATTTAACTTATGCTCATGATTTAGTTGAATTATTAGATATTCATAAAAAGAAAGATGTAAATACAGTTCCATAATTTGGTGCTGCATGTGATGGTGATGCAGATAGAAATATGATATTAGGTAGATAATTCTTTGTAACACCATCTGATTCATTAGCAATATTAGCAGCTAATGCTAATTTAATATTTAAAAATGGTTTATTAGGTGCAGCTAGATCTATGCCAACTTCAGGAGCTTTAGATAAGGTTGCATTAAAAAATGGAATTAAATTATTTGAAACACCTACAGGATGGAAATTCTTTGGAAATTTGATGGATGCAGGATTAAT